TGTGAATTAGCTAATTTGCCCAGTTTAGGTACTAATAATGGGAAACCCATTCCAAAGAGATAGCAAGTTTTCTTTTTATGGTACTGATAGGAAAAAAAAAATCAGCAAAAAAAAAAATCCTGAAACACTGAGTCACTGACAAGAGAAATAATGTAGAATTCAGTTCTATTTATTTACAGTACAAATTTATTTTAAAATCAAAACAAAAGGGAAATATTGCAGGAGTTACAACAATTATAAGAGTCAGCAACAGTCTCATTTAATAGAGACATACATAAAACTTTACTTTAAAATGTATAAACTTAAATGAATTATAAATTTGTTATTTAGATAACAGGGAGTGGAAAAGTGATGAACTGATGTACGATTTATGCACTCAACTAGTAAAGACACAATAATTAAAAAAGAAGTTAGACAACAGAGAAAATAGATGGGGTCTGTTGGTTGGATCGAAGCAGCTTTCAAATGTTTTGTGTGAACATAACAAACTTCTCATCTGTCACCCAAGGTGAAATGGATTCTGATATCAAACCTCAAAACTAAGATGTTAATGACTATCTGTCCTACGGAAAATCATCACCACTTGTTAATACACCACTTGTATTCAGAAAAGTTATTTTTCTATGTGTACCTACTTGGTTGTAAGGGGTGAAAATTATCCCATTTTTTAAAAAAATCAATGACAGAAATGAAACAATGAACGGAAACCTTCATATTGGTCAAAGTGGAGTCATGGCATAGCACAAGGGGAGAAAATCTGTTTATAAGAATTGTATCCCTCTCTCTCCACCACCACCCCACCTCTTCACACCACAAATATAGGCAGCGTTCTAAAAGCTCCCCCTAAGTTTCCACGTGTTGCCTCCTGTTGGAAATCGGCATTTCAGTTAGCAGACAAACCAACGCCCGTAACCCCTTCCAAGAAAGTACAGAAATAAAAAAACAAAACAAAAACATTTGGCAGTCTTTGAGTTTCTGGGTTTCTTTAGGATACCCCCCTCCCATTTAAAAGCAATCACTTCTCACTTCATCAGTGCAAAAGCAGATTCCACTGTTTGAAACAACCACCTCACCCAGCTCAAGGAAGATCCTGAACCCGAACTTGGAAATCATGCCTCCCAAGTCATACGACTACTCTAATGAGTTTGCCATTTTCTTTCTCAATTGCCTTTTAATTAGCGAGTTTCTGGTGTGCTGTTTGTTCTACTAAAACGGTACATTTTACATTTCTCTTCTAGTTCCTGCCTGTACCCTCTCCTCTGTATTTAACAGGACTCACTTTAAGATTTACTACGTTCTTTCCATACTTTTAGCACAACCAAATCAAGAAGTCAGATTAGTACAATATACAAATGCATTTTTTTAAATTAGTTTTCCTTGGCTTCAAGGAAAAGCTATCTGGGCAGTAAAAATGTTCAATATCAATAGATTAATGGAGAATCTAAAGCCCTACAGCATGTCCTTTTCTAGTGACTAGGTTTCCTCTTGGTGAAAATGTATTAAGTTCCTGAACTGTCCATCAATAGAGTGTGTGAGTACACTGTAGCAAACAGTCTAAGAGGTCAGTTCTTTCTAAAATCCTACTATAATTTTGAGGAGACAAACTACAGGCTCCATGAAGCACTTAGCAGAGCTCGATTATTATTCCATTTCACTTGCTCACCAGAAATGCTTTTTCTGAACCACTGTTTAATCTTTTAAAGGTTTATCTGACACTTTTTTAGAACTGCTTTGAAAAGGATACATTTTCCTTAAGGAGTTTGTCGGGTGACCATAAGTGTATTTTGAATGGAGATGTTATTTATGAGACCAGATTTTTTTGTATGCTTAAATTCAAGAGTTTTCAAATCCAGAACAAAACTGGAGAGGGTTTTTTGTTCATTTGTTTGTCTTGTTCGTTTTGTTTTATCCTTTAAAACTTCTCTAAGAAACAAGTCAAGAAAAGGGGGAAATATTAATGCTGTTTGTTGGGTTGATGGGTTTGGGTGTGGTTTTTTTTTTAAATTTTCATCATATAATTTCCCCACTTTTCCCCTAGCTATAGTCATAATTTACCCCCCTGATCAATATAATCAAATTTATGCACTCTAATACTAGTCCAATTCCTATTTTACAATGGAAATTATGGGTTTGTAGGCTCTTCAAGAAGCTAATGAATAAATGGTTGTTTTTATAACGAATTAAGAAGTTTCAGGTAAGAAGGTACTTGGAGAAATAACATCTTGTAAAATATAATAGAAAGGAGCTAGAAACAAGGTATTCAAACTTTCCTTATTCAGTAGAGAGAAAAATGAAATAGTAACTAAAGGAATGTTGATTTTTAAAATCTCATATTGTTTTCAATTTGAGAACCTCTTAACTTATTCTTAATATTATGTCCAAAGGTCACTGGCAGTGTACTTAACACTTGTAAGATCTATAAACAGAAGGTGTAACTTATCAAACTTCTGAGACCAACAAAAAGAAATTGATGTCAGTCAATATCCATCTTTGATCATCACTTGAAATTTTATTCTAAAATCTCAAAATGCTTTTTAAATTTAATTGTCTATCCAGCTATCATGGCTAAATTGGTTCCGACAGTTAATTTGATATGTGACATATACCTGAGAGGTAAGAAAATTTTTTTATATTAAATTACAATGTCATACGTTTCATCGGACAAAAATAATAATAAACTTTCGGTTATTATTGACTCTAACAAGATCTGCAAGACTACCGAGGTGAGCGCAGGAAGGGGGCAGCCCCGAGCCCTATTCGAGGAAATGAAAACTTTGGGGTTGCCTGTCTCATCTGAGAAGTAGGTATTTTTCTTCTTCTTTTTTAATGATGCACTTCAAAGCAATCCCCTGCCCATTGCGTTTGCCACAGTTTAATCTAAGAGAAAAAAACAGTTCTCAGAAATCCAAAAAAAAAAAAAAGCGGTTGCTTTCATACCACTGCTGTCTCAAGGCCTCGAAATGAAACTCCCGCACCACTAACACCAAGAACTTTGCGAGAAAGGTCCGAATTTCCACATTTCCCATGATAACAGAGGAGTCATTAACCAACCACCACACTCCCGAACACACTCACCGCCCACAACTCCTCCAGCCATCTCAGGGTTCGAAGAATCTGAACCCTGCTGCTTGGGTGCAAGTGACAATTCTTTCTCTCCCGCCTGTTGTTCTCCCACCCCAGTCCAACTCTATCTCCCAGCTCCTATGTCTTTATCCCAGCAAAGTCCTGGAAGCTGAGTTTTTGCCTGTCGGAAATACTCCGTACTCTACCCTAGAAGCGATAGTCGCTTTGGGTTGTAAGGGAAGAGAAGGGAAGCCATGGGAGAATTCCCCGTCCACCACCATTACCCCCTCCCGTGTCAGAAAACTTTTACAATAGCATGACCAGGGAACCAGGGATTTGGGGGAGCCAGACATTTCCCATTTTCTCCTCCCAGCCCGTTTTCACCCAGCGCACCCCCCAGAGACTGAACTGAGCCCTACGGGAGCAGGAGAAGGGGAGGGGTTAGAGAGGGCGCTACATACGGTTATTGGGGTCGCTGGTGTGTTGGTTGAGGGGTATGATCTCCATGCGCTGCTGCCCATACAGGTAATAGTCCAGCTCCTCTGCTGTACAGCGAAATCGAGGGACTCCCCTGTCGCAGGCAGCGGACCCGCTGCTACACTTAGAGCCGGAGCTCGAGCAAGAGCCGACGCACAAGTCCTTGCCCTGCAGAGCTCCCGAGGGCAGCACCTCGGAGCTGGAGAGCGGCGCGAAGACCGGGAGCTGGGCCACGGGCAGGGCGGCCAGGCCGGCCAGGGAAGCGGCCGTGGCCACGGAAGCGGCGGCGCACGACGAAGAGGCGGAGGCTGCGGTCGAGGTGGTCGATGAAGCCGGAGTGGAGGAGGCGGAGGAGGCCGAAGAGGACAGGGACGCAGGGCGCGGGCGGAAGCCTTCGGCCACGGGCTCAGCGCGCTCGGGCGCCGGAGGCTGCAGGGGCAACGGCGGCGGCTGGCCCAAGACGCCGCCGCCGCCCTTGAGCTGGGCGCTCTGCGGGAAGAGTTGCTGCCAGTGCTGCAAGTAGGCTGGGTCCACTTTCAGGAAGGACGAACCTCCGGGGTCTCTGGGCTTGAGCATGTCGGACGCCTGGAGTTGGGGGAAGAGGGGAGGGGAAGGAAGAGAAGAGTGAGCCGAGTTTAGGGGGAGCGGTTAGACCCGGGAAAGAATGGCCAAAGACGCTGGAGAGGAGAAGAGGAGGAAGGAGGAAGAGAGAGACCTAGCTAGGTGCGGGTCCCAGCCCACCCCTGGCCAGTCCCAGAAAGGAGGACGCAAATTCCTACTGCTCCAGAGAGAGAAGAGCCAAGGCTTCCAAAGTTCTGGGGAGAGTCTTCCATAACTATATCAACTGCTCCAGCAACCTCTCTTCCCCATCCCCTCCCCGCTCTTCCCCCTCCCCCAGTTTCGTCGCCAACTCTGAAGCCACAGAAAGTTTGCTTCCAAATAGCAGAGCGAAGAGGGAAACCTAGTTGCAAATTGGCGGGGTTCTTCAAACCATCCTCACCCTCCCTGGGTGCCCCCAAAAACTCTTTCCTAAGCTGAACCCTTCCCTCTCTTCTCACCCTATACCCCACATTCCCCCGACCCGGACAGAGGAAGCTGCGTTTCAGGAACTCTTCACTTTCACCAGTCTGCCCACTAAAGAGGGAGCCTTCAACCAGGTACTAAGAGTACCAGAGCCACCGGAACTCAGCAACTTAGGATCACTCAACACCCAGCGCAGGAAAAAGGGAGTCTCCTTCCCACTCCCGTTATTCTCCCATCACTTTCCCACCCCACGAAGCACCCCCATCCTCTACGCTCTTCTCCCAAGGGGCCTGGATTCCAGAATTTCAGCTTTTACACCCTCCCCTACTCCTCACCTGGGAACCGAGGGGTGCTGGACTTGGAGTGGCGAGCTGGAGGGAGACGCCGTGTGTGTGTGTGTGTGTGTGTGTGTGTGTGTGTGTGTGTGTGTGTGTGTG